CACTGCAGCTGCACCCAGCATGGGCCTGGCTGCCACAGCACTCAGCTAGGACTGAGTGTCACATGGCTCCCAGCTGCCACGGCGCTCGACAGGGACCCAGCATGCTGCGGGCTCCATGCAGCCTTCTTGCTGCACAGGGAAGTGTTCTGCACTGGGGTTGGGTGCAGGGAACTCTGAGGTCAGTGGCTGGCATTGTAGAGGGGTGAGGGGCTCCAGGGGTTAGGGTGGCTCTGGGGGCCGGGGCTTTTTATACTGTGGACTGGCAAACCCATTCACAAACTTTTGGCAGATGGGTAACATTTTATCTGAATATTCATTATTTGCATAATGAATGTGCAAATACACAAATAAAATGTTGCTGGTCTGCCAAAAGTTTGTGAATGGGTTTGCCAGTCCTTGGTATAAAAAAGGTTAGGAACCACTGAGATAGGCAGTAGATGAAGGGGAAGATAGAATAACTAGACAGTCTCCCAAAGTTTCTTCCTGTTAAGGGGAAAAGCAAGAATAGAGAGGTTATTTTATTCCTCCAAGACTCCATTAGTTCATGCACATTCAGGGTGTGTCTAGACTACAGGGTTTTTTCGCATCTAGACTGCAGCCGCGTTCTTTCGAAAGTAAAGTGAAAGAACGCGGCAGTTTTTTCAATCACGGTAAACCTCATTTTACAAGGAATAATGCCTTTTTTCGAAAGTACTCTTTCAAAAAAAGGTGCTATTGAATGCAAACTGATTTTTCGAAAGAGAACATCTAGCCTCTCTTTCGAAAAAGCAGCTCGCTTTTTCAAAAAATCTACTTGTAGTCTAGACGCTCTCTTTCGAAAGAGGCTTGTAGTCTAGATGTAGCCTAACTTTTTATAAAACCATATGCACAGTGCTCGACAATTAGTGTAATCTACTCGCCTGTGGCGAGTAGATTACAAGCCGGCACAGCTGCGCAGCATGGTAAGCGCATGCGCAGCGCAGTCTGCGCATGTGCAGTGTGCTGAACCATGCGGCTGGTGAGCGGGGTTCGCGAATGCTTGGTGAGCCCTGCATATGCAGATATGTCTGACTTTTAATGTGTACTATCCTGCAAATCTTGTGGATATCCACTTTCTATCTGCATCTGTTGATATGAATTCCGGTATCTGCAGCTCATTTTTGTGGATATGGACGCGGATGCAGATACAAATTTTATCTATGCAGAGCTCTACTAGTATGTTGATACTGTAAAGCATCACCCATTAATGGTTCAAATCCTGCCACACTTCAGCCATGTGACAAGAGTATTGTAAGGCAGAGCATATGTCTAAATGATAGTAGTGATGTTCTTCCAGCACATTTATCCCTACAAGAGGGGAGAAGTTTGGAAAGATTGTGTTTATGGTCTGGTTTTTACATGTTCTTCTAATCAATATGAAATCTCTGTTTTCAGGTGAGCTATTCTATCACATACACAGATGCAGGAGAAATAATACATGCAGCAGTTTATTTTGTTCTGGGGACAATTAACAATGCAATGCTTCCACTACAGCAAAGCTTCAAAATCAGTTTTACTCAGGTAAGGTCTAAAGATATTACAGGTGATTTGCTGAAAGATAACAACAAACCTTATTAAACTTGCATCAGAATTAATTTCCAGTAACTCTCCTCTCATTCCCACACACACAGTTTACACTGGGTGCATGAGCAAGGCAGAATTTCAGAATTGTATTAACATCCTCCAAATGCTTTGGTGTTTTTCCTTTTTGAAAGTTAATCAGGTGACACTAGTCATGTGTGTGTAATTAAGGCAAAGTGTGTTTCTAATTTCAGTAAGCAATCTTGTAGTCCTAGACAGAAGTCTTTTATGGATTGATATTTTCAAACTATTCCAGAAAATTAATTCTACATGAATTTGACTGTCTGTCTTCCAAACATTTAAGAAAAACTTAAGAACTAATGCTGTGTGGTTTGTTACAGGTAAAAACAAAGCCAGTACCTCTTAGCGGAAATCCTGGCTATGGTATCGGGTTGCCTCTGAGGGCAGGATTCAAACCTCCTGGATATCCTTTTCATATCTAAATGTGGCTTATGCAGCTCTGATAAAGCTTCTTGCCAAGAGAAGTACTATGGCTCAGTGAATGAAATGTAAGCATTAACCATCTTAATGGTAAAAAGGCACAAAATCTACTTGCCCACCTATTTTGGTACATCACTGTAATTTATTAGATATATTTTATTACATAATACTGTAGTCAGTGAGAGCTGTATCCTTCACCGACTTTTAAGGAAACAGGATCACGTTCTAATTATGAACTCTAGTAATGTTTCTAAACTACCTACAGAATATCTTGTAGCATTTTCACTTACAAGTCAGTATTTTTCTAAGGATACATACTTCATAATATTTCATATTTTGCCTTAACTCTCTGCTGTTACATCTGGCATTATTCAGAGCAGTAATATATATGATCAACTTACTATTTTGCAAAGCTCATCTAACCAAGACTGTCTAGCTGTAGAAGGAGTCAGAACCCCGGTATTATTTGGTTATAATACGATATCTGGTTGTAAACTAAGGTAAGAGGGTAATTCCATTTAGCATGTATCATCCGCTAGTAATCAGGTTCCACTTACCTGGTTAGATAACTTGTTCAGATGCTAAAACTTTTGTATAGTGTACCAGTAGTGGAGGTAGATGCCATGTACTTAGTTTTTAATTTAATGAAATTGTCTTGGAATAGCTGTGTTGCTATGCTAATGTCCAAAATTTTACTTAAAATTGATCTTTTCTTTTCTGAAAGAATCACTGCAAATACAGACTGTCAACTGTTGGCCAGTATCATCTTGAATGTACTGAAAGGACAACATTTTCCAGAATATGTAGCTTCATTTGGAAATTCTCAGGCCCAAGATGTATTGGACTGGGTACCAATCACTTATGTCCAGTCTTCAGAGCAGGTGAAAATAACTGATGTTTTTTAGAACATTCACGCTAGTTTAGATTCATCTGGCAGAATCTCATTGTTTTTCCATCATGTATACCTTGTTTGTTAATAAAACTATTTTCTCAACTTGTATTCATGAGCTTTCCTTATAGGAATTCCTGCTATCCCAGACATATTTTTTACTGCCCTAGAATGTCTCTGTGGCTTTTAAATTTGGATGGTGGCTTAAAAAACGTAAATCTCATCTACTGTAAATGGGCACTGAAGTCCACAGTAAAAAGTGAAGCTACAATGATTTACACCAGATGAGGATGCAAATGCTTTTATGATTGCATGAATAGTATAGGTTGAACATCTCTAATCCAACACACTCTGGTCTGGCAACATCTGTGGACTAGCATCATGGGTATGGCCATGTTTCCTGGGGCCCCATAAAGTTTGTTTCCAGCCACCAATCCTGTGCTGCTATTTAATTCTAATTAAGCCCTAAATATCTTGCTGTTGGGACTGTATAAGCTTAATACAATGAATGAAACAATAATGAATATACATTTTCAGGGCCTCTGCCAAATCCCAGTATCATTTGAAATAGAAGTGAAGTGGACTAAATATGGATCTCTGGTCAACCCACAAGCTAAAATCATGAATGTCTCAGCAATGGTCATTACTGCTGCACTGGCCCAGGTATATGGTTAAATAGCTTTATTTAAGAGTGGAAGAATGTGGGTCTTTAGAATGCTAGAGGTGGCTGTTAATTAAACATTACCTGTAAATTATGCAGGACAAAGACCGTGTTATATAAACATTGTTGCTCTTATGTTTCCCTTCGTGTTTTAGAAAGATCAGCATAAAATAATGTATTGCATCCAACAAACATAGCAATAGGATTCTTGCTACAAACAAGTTTCCAGTGAAGTTGCACACACTTCTCAAAAAAGGAAATTCAGTGATGTAAAAATATCTGTTACTAGTGACTGCTAAATATTTAATACCTAGTGAAAAATCATCTGTATAAATCCAGGGCGAGCCTAAGAGGTAGTTGTATCTTTATTGCAGAGTAACTTTGGAAGTGAAAGGACTATTCAGATAGCAAGTTCTGTTACTTTTGTTGATGTTTCTACACCTGCAGAGCCAGGCTATAAAGCTAAACCAACTATTGATGCCAAGTTACCATTTGATTTTTTCTTTCCATTTATTTAATGTAAGTATACACCCAAAACCCATTCAAGTTCTTTTTCTTAAATTATCACTTAGCATTAGATGAGCAAAGCTGTCCGCTGCACCTGCTTTTAAAGATAGTAGGAAATATACTTATTATAACTCTGAAGGCTTGAAATTAAACACCCTTTAAAAAGATAACCAGGAAGGCTAGGGCTTTTCCAATGTCCTCATTATTCAATGATCTGTTTGCATGGGAATCAATGGGAACAATTTTGCCAATAACAAGTGTTCTTTGAAATCCCAACCATCAAGTTTCCACACTTCAAATTGTGCCTGCACACATAATAAGAATGCATTCACTGTGTGGGCCTTTTCCAGCAGCTTAGTCAAGTTTGCAGCGAGACTAAAACAATTGTGCTAGCTGAAATAATCTTATGAGAGGTTATTTCGGAGCATAATCATCTTCAGTAGCTCATTTTTACACTCTTCTGCTTTAATGTTTTATTTTAAGAGCCTTATTTATGCAGTTCCCTTTTTTCCCAGCCCACATGCAATTGAGAATGAAGAACAAGACCTGCAGAGTATTCAAGCCTGCTGTTGAAGACTCCTATGTTACCTGGATGTAGTCGATATGGTTCTGCTCTTGTTCAAAATTTCACATGCTGGTATTGGGATTAATTGCACAATTAAATACAGCAGCACCTCTGGAAGTGAATCCTATCCAAGAACAGGATGATACAGCCAAAGCAAAAATTAATGAGGAAGCTACTCTGACAGAACACAAATGGGAGGTGGCTTAGAGACATAGTAATGTTAACATGTAAACTAAACAACCTTCCTCCAATACTGCAAATGAAGAGACATAAGAAAAAATAGCAATTCCTTGAAATAAATTCTGCCCCGAATATGTACAGCTTTGTAAAGATCTAACTTTATTAAACTTGTTGCAGCAGTGACTATACAGCTATATAATTAAAGACTTATGCAATAATTTTAAGGGAGAATGTGTTTAATTTTTCAATAATCTGTTGTAAGACTACCTGTACTAACACCTTTAACTAGACTCTTTTTTGATTAAATCTCATTGAGACAGTGCTTATACAAGAGGTCATGGAGGTATATAAAATATCTCAGTCAACAAAGGATGTCAACAAAGGATCATTAAACTAGTATTTGTTGCATTGGAATTTCCTCATGGAAGGATTTCTCTCACTCTAGACAGCCAGTCTTTTATTGTGGTTTGTGGATAAGTCCATGCTGTTGTAACAGCTTGTTGAGTCTTTCAATTTCTTGTTCCTATTGGAAATAAAGTCATAAATTTAGCTCATATCTTAAAACACTTCCCAAGCTACAACCAAAGAGCTCTTCTCACATTTCCAAAAAAATAGCCACCCAGCAGGGAAACAGCACAGCTCTTTAACAAGGCATTATTAAATTAAATAGGGGCTTACCCACACCACAGAAGGGAATTAGAAATGTTTGAATAGATCCTTATGGTTATAGGAAGCCCCAATGTGCTCTCATATCAACTAGATGGGAGCTGGGTAGATTTTGTGGCTAAAGTACATCCCAAATCATGCTGCTGGGATAAAACAGAGCTCAGTATCACCATGGCCTTTCATCTCCCACATAGCTAGTTACTGGAAAAAGATTGTAGTCCAGTTCCCACAGCTGTTTATATTTATTAGCGTTTTTACCTTCTCTATGCAGCTGTGTTCAAGATGCTCAACTTTTGTAGCAAGTTGCAGATTTGCTTGCTTCAGCTTTGACACTCGTTGTTCGGAGCGTGTCTTTACTGATAAAATTATTCCTAGGAAACAAAGCATGGAGGATTCGGGTTATGTAGTAAATCAGTAGACACTAGCAGACTCAAGTTAATAAGAATCTGTGGTTTGTGCTCAAATAATTTGCTTTATATCTATGTGGCCTTTCACAGAGGAGAGCAAGTATTCATTTTAACCCCACTCACACAGAAAGATAAAGCACTGACCAGCCAGTATAGATCCAAGGGCTCCAGTGTGACCTGGACCAGGATTTTACTTGTCTCTTTAAAGCTTTTAGCTTCTCCTTAAATTCCTCCGGAAGAAGGCCATTCCATTTTCCTTTGACACAAGTGTCTTTCCTTTACACCATTAAGTATAATTCCTCCCCGGTAACTGAGGCAATAGTCATTTTACCAGCCCTTTACAAAGAACTGCATCATCAAATTGTTCCTATCCTCAGGAGCCTCCAATTGAATGACACACATTATAATCTTAAAGCTTGCCTCCTATGCTATGTGTACCTGCTACCATATGCCATCTTACTGGAGCTGGTTCTACATACTTCACAGCCCTGGTTTTCCAGTTCATGCCTCTCAAAAATAAGAATGCAAATATCTCCACTTTATTTTTGCATAGACTCAACTTCCTCCCAGGGCATGCATATGTACCTGATGACTGCAGCGGACCCTCAGATCAGCAATTCCACCTGGAAGTGAATGCTTTCCCAATACAGAGACAGTGTCTGAACACTACCTGAAAACTATGGAATCCTGAGCCAGAATCCCCACCCGGTGTCTAAGCTTGTTCCTTCCAGCGACAGCATGGCTACAGGCACACTCTCCAGCAATTCAGGGAATGTGAGCAATCTAGCTCCATTTATTTGTTTGTACAACAGACTCCTGCTATGAACATTAGGGAGATCTGAATCAAAAGGGAAGAGGAAGCAAAACCCCAAAGATAAGAACTCCCTTTCATATATTTACAAGCAGACATGACTAAAATGTTTAGTTTCAACTAAGATTACATCTCAAGACTGTGATAGCAGTGACAGTGACTTATATACACATCATTCAAGATTCACTCTAGGCCACTCTCCAACCTTCACTACAGATTAAGGTCAATGTCTGCTTTCTACTCCAAGTTAATTTATTCTCCTTTTCCCCTGGAGGTGGCCATTTTATATTTAAATGTGTGCCAGCCACACCTTATAAAGAGAAATACTTTCTCTTTGTCCTATATAAATGATGATTCCTAACTGTGTCAACTAATGGACAGTTGTGTAAAGTCAATTTGCAGGCATTGTGTAAAAGGGCTATAGTACAAGCCTAGATTTGAGGTTTTAGCCTTAAATGGGGGAAGATCCAGCTGGACCTCATTTTTTTTATGCAAAAATAGCTGATTTGGGATGCAGGAAGGAAATGTTCCAACTACTGAGTATATGAGGGTTTTTTTATGTGTACTGTTTTGTTACAGTAGCAGCAGCAAAGTGCCAAAAGGGAAGGGAGGAAGAAACATCACTGTGTCAGCCTTTTAATTTTTTTCTTTGCTGATTTCAAGGAAAAATATAAACAATGCTAAATCCTTTTTTGTGAGAGTGACATATTGAGGGCAGCTTAGCTGCCTTGTACAGATCTTCTTAGTACTATACCACTAAACCAGAGTCAAATGGGAAAAGATCCCAAGTAGCACAAGGACTATTATTCAGATCAACCCCAGCAGCAGTCTGAAAAATAGTGACAAGAGAAGTGCTAAAGTAGAAAATTCCATATTTTACAATGCAGTTTAGTGAACTGCAGTCCCAGAACAGAGACAACACTCTCCCCCTTGAAATATTAAGACACTCAATATAAAAACAAAAGCCTATCTTGTCCCATTTCAGGAGTGACTGGCATGTGAGTTCTGCTACAGATTGGATCCCCACTCTGTAGGAACTGTGCTATTACAATAAACAGATGATCCCTGCCCCAAAGAGATTCCAAACTAACTCAGGTTACACACCTGCCCATGCAGATTTTGTTGAACACCTGTGCCTACATGGCATTTGCTTAAAGATCAGGACCCAGGTTTGCAAATGTGCCTCTTGCACACATCTTTGGACTTCCTTTCCCCTCCCTATACCCATACCATTCATCGAGTATACTGTACAAATAGCCAGCAATTTCCTTGAAACTAATCATCTGACATAAAAACTTACCATTTATAATTCTGGCCACTCGCCACAATCGGAGTAGGATCAATAGTCCAGCTGCTTGAAATTCATGTTCCCGAAACAGAAGGACAACATCGATGATAAATGAAACCACCACCACTATTGCATCCAGGACTTCGAACTTGTGGTGACAGAATTCCAGGCGATAGACGAATATTTTAAACCCAACTTCCACCAAAAAGATGGTCACAATAGAAAGACTCATGTAGTGAAATACCTGGGAAGAGAGAGAGAGAGCGAGAGCCAGGCAATATGTGGAAGCCGAACAACTATTAACATTAGCAAATTAGTCTTATGTGTGATCCTTCTTATATCAGAATCCTCTTACACCTTTGAACAATATCTATGCAAACTGACTGAATGTACGTAATAAAAGGATCCTGCTTAGCACAACAGAAGCCACCAAACGCTTGCATATTATCTATCAAAGCAACAAGTAGTCCTGTAGTACCTTTGGGCACATCTAGACTACATTCCCCCCCTCCCCCCGAAAGGAGATATGCAAATTAGTGCTAATTTTGCATATCTTCTTCCGAATGCTTTTTCAAAAGCGGGTTTTTCAAAAATGAAAGTAGTCTGGATGCCTTTTTTTTCAGAAAAAAAAAACCTTTTTTGAAAAACCGCATAAACCTCCTTTTTTTAGGAAGGGAATTTTTTTCAAGCAGTTTTTCAAAAAATGTTTCCTCCCTCCCCCCCCCAAAAAAGGTGTCCAGACTATTCACTTTAGGAAAAGCGATCAAAAGAAGATACGCAAATTAGCACCTAATTTGCATATCTCGTTTCAGGAAAAAAATGTAGTTCTAGACATGCCTTTAGAGATTAACAAAAATATATCTGTAGTACCGTGAGCTTTCATGGGCACAACCCATTTCTTCAGGTGAGATGGAAGCTGGGCTTTTTCTATGAAAGTGCATGAAACTATATACGTTTTTTGTTAGTCTCTAAGGTGCCACAGGACTAATAATTGTTTTTAAAGTTGTAGATTAACACAGCTCTCTCTCTGAGACTTAAATTATCCACAGATACTATGAAATCACTGATTTTCAGCCTTTATACTATTTTGGGCCACATATGCAGCCCACAATGTGCTATGTGGGCCACATACAATATTATATCTATGGGATGTAACATGGGCTGCAGCTGTGTACTAACTGGACCACAAACAGCCCATGTGCCACAGGTTGAGAACCACAGCCTAAACAGACTGGGATCACAGCAATGTCACTCTGCAGCTCAGGAAAGCTTCCAGCATCAGTAGACACAAATGCTATGGAGCAAGACCCAGGTCAGGGAGTGGGGAAAGGAAGATTAGCCTGCCCCATGTTGCAGAAGCCAGGGTGCCAACTTTAGTCCCTGCATGGAATCTTCATCTTTTGTATTCTCCAACTCAGGGAGGGGCAAGCTAGGCTAGTGAGTGGGCTGCACAAGTGGCCCTCCATCTCAGTGGGTGGCTGCAAGACTTTCCAAACCAAGACAGTCTCCCAAGATAGAGTAGTTTTGCAATTGCAGGGTGATACAGTTAGGAAAAAAACGACATGGACAAAACCCAACAGAATCTGGCAACCATGGACAACGGTAAACACAAGCCACAAGTTGCTCACCACTGCTCCAACTCCTACCACTTTGGTAGTTCTGAGGTCCCCCTATACCAGTGACTGCTGGGAAGAAGAATTCTGTTTGCCTCCCTAATTTGAACTGTCGAGGAGAGAGACTGGTTCACTCAGGCATATGTCTGTCTGCATTTTACCTTTGGTGCTATTTCATGTTTGTCTGGGTGGATGATTTTCAAGTCCAGAAGCAATTCAGCAAGCACCAACAACGCATCAAAAATAACCAAGCAAACAACCAATATCTGCAAGAAGAGGAAAACAGCAGGATAATAAATACAGTCTTTTGTTTAATATTTGCACTATTTAGGGCTTTTGACAAACAAATATATGCTAAAATTGTCCATCCTGTAGATGTACAGTTTGATCAAGACCCGTGGCTGGGAAACTAGCAGAGCTATGAAAGCTGCCCTGGATTGCTAGTTGGATTTATTGTATTTAGATTGGTTTCCATGTGTGCCTATTTAAGATTCTAGGTGCCCTCATTACTAACACAGACAGTTGCTTCAGGGAAAGGAACGTTTATTGGTCATAAAAATAGTCTCATTAATGTCATGGGGATTACTTACCTTGTAGGATCTGGGCCTTGACTGTCCAGTTTAGATGACTTCCAGCACTAACCAATCTCATTTAGAATTGAAAATAATCAGCAGTCCCTCCAGATTAACCAAAGATTTCTCCTTACTCAGCAGCAGGAAATCCCTGTAGCCTTCACCACAGGAATGCATGGCGAATTCCCACTTAGCTTCCCCCTCACAATCTTAGAAGAATACGTATAAAGGCTTTACATTGCTCCACATCTCAGGAAATGCTGACTCACTTCAAACTGAGTCTGGTGGGTTTTAGACAGAACATTGATAATTCAGCAGATTATTTTCAGATTTTCATAAAGGAGATTCTGGGACTTTTAAATAGTTCTTATCTGATCCTCTCCTCTTCAATGTTCAAATTTATTTATTTATTTTAAATGTATTCTAAATCGATGAATTTTTAATGCAATTGTTTCAGTGGGGCTACTTGGGTGAGTCAGATTTTGCAGCATTGAGCCCTTGGCTTGTGGTAGCCCTACCTGAAATTTGTGGGAACTGAAGAGCTTTTTCATCACATCCTGGAAAGAACGAGGTCTGACTGAGGAGTTCACATTGATTGTTGAATCTTCTGGCTTCTGCCCACCTTCTTCCTCCATCTGATCTTCCCATTTCTTGTAGTCATTGCCCCACTGCACAGGGTCGTCACCCACTACGGTGAAGTGTTTCAGATACGTGGACATGGCTCTTGGTTAAGTGGACATTACTCTGTGGAAATACACTGTGGGAAAACAGAACGTTAGTTCAGCAATGTGAACCACTGCCCTGAAACCTCCCAGGAAGCTGAATTCCTTCCAAAACCAACCAGGAGTCCTGTGGCATCTTCAGGTACATCTACACTAGAGAGAAGATCAAAGTTACCACTGACAATCTTCCAGGGTTCAAATTAGCAGGTCTAGTGAAGACAATATCATTCGAATTGAGAGGAGCACTCCGGTAGATGCCAGTAGCCCTGCTTCCATGAGGAGTAAGGGAAGTTGAAGGGAGCGTGTTCTCCTTTCAACTTCCTGCAGCGTGGACAGCACTAAAAGTCAAGTTAAGGTACTTTGACTTCAGCTATACAATTAATGTAGCTGAAGTTGCATATCTTAATTCAATCTTATCCTGTAATATAGAGTTACCCTAGAGACTAACAGATTTACTAGGGCATAAACTTTTGTGGGTAAAACCCACTTCAACAGATGGGTTTTACCCACAAAAGCGTATGCCTAATAAATCTGTTAGTCTCCGGTGCCACAGAACTCCTAGATGTTTTTGCAGATACAGACTAACACAGTGATCCCTTGGATACAGAGAAAGGGTGTTTTCATCCCTCAAAGCATTTTGAACACTGGCATTTTGTATCTACTTACAGCTCAGATTTCAGAACCATTCTGACACTCAAACCTCTGGGTGTGAGGCTCAACTCAGTGGAAACTGATATCTGTTTACTGCTTGATTTCTTTCAATGTCAAATCTTGACAGATTCTTAACCACCCCATGAAGACAAGCTGGTTAACACCCAGGTCTGCTTTCCTATCCAACAGATGCTTTACTATAGGTAGCACATATATTGTATCTAGGGTTTCAAATTTGTCATAGTGTTCTGTGAGCCATTAGGGATATTTGCCAAATAAGTTCTCCAACAATTACAGTGCACAAGAGTGTTATGTTATTTTTAGAAAATCGCAAGTAATTTGTAGACGGGCATGAAATTTACCCTGTTGAGCAAAAATTACAAAGACATTATCATTTGCTTTGCTTAACGTGCCCTACATGTTATCATAGGCTTGGAGGAAATCAAATATTTTTGCATGCAGACAGAAACAGGACAAATAATGCAAGAAAAATTGGTCACTTTAAATGCTTGATTTACATCTGTCTTTACACAGCACAATTTTAGCTGACATTTTGTGTCTACTTTGGCTTATGCCAGCGTTTCTCAAAGTGTGGGTCGCAACCAACCTACAGGGGGGTTGCAGCTGCTGGCTTCCCCAGGGTCCTTTGTGCCACTTCTGGGGATTCCGGAAGTGCGCTCCCCTCCCACAGCTGTGTAGCGTGCCGGGCACGCTGCGGGAGGGGGTGTCAGCCCCGGAGGAGGAGTGCAGCACCAGCAGCTTCCTTATAGCACAGTGACTTCAGGAAGGGTGAGTCAAGCGTGAGTGGGGCTTTTTTTGCTTAACAACTTTCTTTGGCTCTCCCACTTTTTTTTTTTTTTGCTTACCAACTTTGGTGGGGAAAGAGAGTGTCACACAAATTCAATGAGTATTTTAGGGGGTCGCAGTATCAAAAAGTTTGAGAACCCCTGGCTTATGCCATAGAACCAGAATGTTACTTAACTATGGCTTTATGCACATTTTCAGGAATGGAGATATTCTTCATGCTTCAGTGTATTTCTTCAGAAACTTAAGTTTCTGCCTCTCACTTCAAGGGTATATTTCTCCTGATTGCTGTCTAGAATATTTGTGCTTTATTGTTTCTAATGCCATCTGCTTTCTGAACTGTCGTTCATGCTTAAATTTGACACTTTACGCCTTGGTCTTAACAAAGACACTAATTACCTTACCCATTACAAAAATAGCTTCCCCAATTATCACCTCTAATATCATTAGCTCACAGACATTTACCTCCCCCCCTCGATTTGTCCTTTTTTATGTGTTCACTTTTTTTAATTGTATCCCTTTGAATATATGGTCATGCCTATTTTCTTCCACTATTTGATCTGAAGAAGTGGGTCTGGCCCATAAAAGCTCATCACCTAATAAACCATCTTGTTAGTCTTTAAAGTGCTACATAGTCCTTTTTTTTGTTTCTGCTTTCCCCATGACCTTCACAAGCAAGGATGGTTCTGTGGTATCTCCCAGAGTAGCGGTTCCCAACCTTTTTTATACCTCAGCTGGCAAACCCATTCACAAACTTTTGCTGGACTGGTAACATTTTATTTGCATATTTATTGAATATGCAAATAAATCAATACCAGTCTGCCAAAATCCCCAGTCCCAAAAGCTGCTGTGAACAGCTAGCTTCAGCTCTGGCAGCTGCCATGGCCTGACAGCCAGTGGTTTGCACCTGGCACCAGTCTGCAGACTGGCAGTTGGGAACCGCTTTCTCAGAGCACTGACAGCAACCCAGAATCAGTGTTCCCTGTAAGCTGGTGCTTGAGGCAACACCCAGGAGAGATTCAGCTGCAGCTCAGCTGATTACTAGAATACCCAGGGCTGGCAGCCTGTGTTTCTACTGGTGGTGCACCTCCACACATGCCTTGGTGCACAGAATAAAGTGTATTTTGCAGATGGATGGAAAAAATTT